GGGAAGAAGCCGGTCCTTGGGAAAGCGAGCTTTGCCGGCGCCAGTGCGTGTAGCCAAACAACTCGGCTGCCACCAGTTTCCCCGGGCGGCTGTTTCTCATGTTCAAAAAGCCACTGGGCAAGACGGTGCCGGGCGTCGAAGTCCGTGGAGGCGGCAGGCAACAGGCCTGCGGCTTTCCTCCTTGGCAGGTGAGCCCTGTCTGGTAACACCCAGAGACCACTGGCCGTGAGGCAGGCCATGGTGCCATTCTGGCCGGCCTTACAGTTAAATCACAAAGGCAGGAGTTGCTTTGGCAGGCCTGGTGGAGGGGGTTGATTTTCTTGCCCTACGGCAAACCGTCTCCATTATCTGTGGAAAACAACGAATCCGGGATTTGGTTGATTAGCACCTTGCCAGCAAATGTAAAAAGACCCGTTTGTATTGCATTGTAGCACCACCATTTAAAAAAGAATGGACACACAAAGTTCTGACCATTCCTATTCTAACTTACAAGAGCAACAACAAGGACTGAAAAAATGTATATCCAATCCATATACATGTTCAAGAAACAATGAAAATCACAACTAAATTTTTAATCACAACAATACATAACTCCAGTACAAGATGCAAACTGAAGCTGTTTCAAACAAGTCTAACATATGGTATTCCCTGGACGATGCATCTCAACAATGATGATAGCAATATTGTGACTAGAAAGGACTCTATTCTAGTTTGTATTAGAGGGCATTATAGCTGAGATTCATGGGAGATCGACACACCTAAATATAGGTGCCTGGGTGGGTGCTAGATGTCTAAGCTCCCATTTCAGAGACCTAAGGCTTCGCTTGCTTAAATGTAGGTTGTCTAGTGGCATTTGAGATGCCGCACGGTATCCAGGACACCTAGATGGGGCTGATGCAAGACCTATGGAAAACCCATGCCCTTCTGCGGCATGAGCTGGAGGCCAGGCTGGGTGTGCAAAGACATCTCAAGTGGCACTAGAAGCTCCGGCAGCTGGACCTCATCCCTGGCAAGTGCAGTTAATGAAGCCTGAGGAGCAATATAGCGCGGTAGCCACTAGGTGACTTCTTCAGGGTGAGCTCAACCATTTCTAGATTCTACTGTCCAATTACTTAGACCACCACTAGCTATTAATAGACATTTAAAGTTGAATTCACTTGCCCACACATAGAGGTCTTTTGCTATTTGGGATGCCCTAAGGAACCCCAGACATCCACAGGGGGTTGGTTGGTGTGACGCAAGATGCACAGAAGACCAGTGTCATCTCTGGCAGCACAGCTGAAGCCCAACAGGATGTTCCACGGCACCTCAAAAGACATTAGGCAGGGTCAGGAGGACTGAACCTACAAAGAATTCCTAGAGGTATAAAACACTGGAGATTCTTACAGACTGGAGAATTATGTGACTTCTTCAGGTGAGACTGCCCAAGGATTCCTGACCCTCTTGTCCATTGTCTAGAAGCAGTTAACTGACCACAGTGCAAATGAAGAACGCACAGTGCAGTAGAACCCAGAGGTTCTGCCTGCACAGCAGGAAACAGTGTTTTATTTCAAGTTGCTTGAAATTGATTTTTTGTTCTTTTCAGTCAAATTTGGTTTTCAGATAAAGTTGATAAATCTGAGCCTGGCCAGTCATACATTTAAGACTTCTTAGAAAATCAAAGGGGAAAAGATGAACTAGAATGTGGACTATTAACATTTCAATCCAGTTAACTTAAAAGTAGCCAAATCTACCTGTTACACTTGTAACAGTTAAAAAAATCAGGATCTGAATGATGCAGGAGAAGCTTTGACAAAGCATTTTGCTTCTTGTATATAATGAATCTTTGTTGTGTGTAGTAATGACATACTCTTAGATTTTCCATTCAAATGAATATAGATGAGCAGGTAGGTGTACTGACTGCAGATAGGTGTGATATAGGATGCTTTCAACCAAGAGCAAATCATTTTGCTTGCTTTTTCTTTTTCTAGTGTCAGAATTTGCTGTGTGCGTTACCTGGTGACAGACATGGTGGTGCAGTGAAACAATGTGGTGATAAGCAAACCGAATGTTACCTTTACTGATTTTAATGACAACGAGACAGTGCCCCTTCAGTACGGACATACATTTCATTATGTTAGGTATGAGTTGTCAGGTACATTCACATTGAAACAGCATTTCACATTCAGTGTATAAAAGCAGTTCATCAGGAAGGTTCTGCTGCACTTCACAGTACAGAGAGAGTGAATAACCAATATTCTTTAACATAATTAAGAAATAGATACACAGCTAAGGAATTATGATAAAGAAGTAGTTTGCACACTAATCTCTAAAAGAACACAGAAAAATGTTTTAATTTAAATAATATTTTATCCATTATCAAGTTATTTAAGAGTTCCTTCATCGAAATATTTTAGACAATAATTTTTAATACATTGCTACAGTAATAATAAAACACACAGGACTAGGAAATAGGATTTAAAAGATCCTTTCTAAGCAGAGGGAACCTCCCACCACCACATTACTAGAAGTCTAAACAGGTAATCCCTGTAATAGATGTATAAATTGTTTTATAGAGAACTATAGCTTTGTGGTTCCTGTTTTGCAAGCTTAAAACATAAGCTTTCCCATTATTATCAATGTCATAATTGTCTAGGTAATTAATTTTGCTTATCTGTTAGAGAAATTTGCCTTGGGAGATACTTCAGGTAGGATATTTCAGTACTCTTAATGACTGTTTGGAGGCAGAGTTTTGCTCCTTAGTGTGACATCTGAAGAAGTACTCATAGAGAGAGGCAAAATCATGGAAAGGTTCATTGCATTGATGGATCAAAGGGAGCAGAAAGACTCATCATGATCATGAGGGAGAGCTTTGAGATCACATGGCACTACACGCAGGACCAGCCAGGGAAATGGCAGGGGAGACGAGCTGTCATAGCTGTGTTACCACCAGAGTGTGCAGCAGACTCTCCATATCCCATGGCATGTGGTGCTGCATGCTCCTTCCTTCCTCCACCTTCACTGCTGCTTCATCCAGCCTAAAAAAAACGTATAGTGGGGGGAAAAAAGGTTAAAAAGTCACAGTAAAACCAGAAAAATGTGATAATAGAAAACATTCAATAGGACATCGCTTAGGCATTAACATCATGTTTCCTTGATATTTTTCTATTAAAACAATAAATTAAGTAGCAAAATACTTTCCACTTTAATAATAGTAAACAAAGCAAATGATTCTATATGAAAAAATAAGAAAAATTACATTGCTTCAATAAAAACAGTTAGGAAGGAAATAACATATATTGTAGAATCTAGAAATAATCTGACAACCCTTCAGCTTGGATTTTACCTTATTCAATATAATGTCCATGTGTACAGAAGCATCCCCAACAGCTAGCGCCACTGCAGCAAGTAACATTTCTTGTCTGTTAACACTAGTGTCAACTGACACAATTCTAAATTTAAGAAGCCTATGAGAACATACCATTTCTAAAATCAATCATGCAAAACATTTCCATGGCTTGAGACTGCAGCAAGGGTCCAGTGAACACTGTACTTGGTTTGAGATGGGAAAAAACTGCCTTATCTAGGTGAGGTTTACTATACCTTTCAGACCACTGGCCTGTGGGTAGAAATACATGATGTACATACTCAAATATCAGCTGATTGTGTTTTCATTATTAAAACACATAGTCTAAAGAAACAAAAAAATGGAAGATTAGCTAATAATCACTATCTCTTTGAATGCCATCACACACATCAGTATGTTAGGTTTTTTGCATAACTTCTGGAAAGTCCTTTGTCATGCCCTAGAGGACACCATGATTGAAAAGAACTAGAATAATTGCAGTTATGAGCACTGAATGTTTAATTAGCCTAGAAAGGAAAAAGAATAAATCAAAAAAAAGTAAGCAAAAAAAAACCCCATAGAGTGGTTATTTCAGCTACAAATCTTCTCAGTGCCTTTTTCTGGAGAGCTTTCAGTAGAGACTCTCTTCCTCCACACATGTATTGCTTTTTTATATATCCCTAAAAATGTTCAAGTGAAGCAAAGGAAGGTGAATCCTTGGCTAATCTAAAGAGCCTATAAATTTAGAGTCTAAGACCTTGAGCTGCATGTTAGCTACCTAAAGCATGATTTAGATGGAACAGTCCAAGTCCAAGGCTATGATTCAGGATGTCTTCCATCAGCTGCTTCTACCTAGTGCTGGAGATACTTAAACCCATTAGGGGTCTTCATTTGAGGTTCTTTGAAGCATCAAGAGCTCTGCTTCTGTGCATGAGCAGACCTGCCTGGCCCCAGCATCTCAAACCCTTGCAGTTTAGGACAGATCATGTGGAAAACCAAGAGCATCCTGCTGTTTAGTTTCTTGTGGGGCTTTATTTACACTAGATACACAGAAACATGAGCAAAAAATGCACTTTGGAGGAAAATAAAACACCAGTAATAGGAGAGATTGCCTAAGTGCTGTATGGCAGCAGAGTGATTAGACCACTCAACTGGAAAATGAGAACTGGATGCACCATATACTCTATGAGGGGGTTGAATTCCTGCTTGCAGAGATGCCCCTCAAAGGCAGGTACTCGAAGTTGTTTAGGCGCTTGTTTCCTTCAGAGCATGTCTGGTTTAGAAGGCTCCAGAGAACATTTTGACCTACGAAACACTCCCAATATCTTAACCAAGCTTAAGGCAAACGTGAGGCTCAGTAAGGACTAAAAGCCACAGGTATCATTCTGCCAAGGAAGAAGCATCACCAGGGGAGACAGCATCGCTACCTTGCCGACTGCTGCACCGTGTGAGGATTTGTTAAATAAAGCACGCAGGGAAGTCCCAGAAGCAAGATTTTCCTAAAAGTTTAATTATTCCCAACCCTTCAGACTCGCTGAAAGTAGTCAGCGTTTAATGAAAACGAATGGCCTCTGCATTATCCGCGCGAGTTTCAAAGAGAGCAGAACGATGAAAAGCTGCACCGCTCAGAGCTCTTACCGGGCTTTTACGGGCTTGTCTCGCCAAGCGCAGAATCCCCCCCCCCCCGCCCCGGC